ACACACACACACACACACACACACACACACACACACACACACACACACACACACACACATATCTTGGGGGAGGATTGCATACATCTCGAATGATGCATTATATAAATATTATCTTTATCCCCGCGATTCAGTTAGTAGTGCCTAAAGCGAAATGGCCGATGACAGCCGATGTCATTATATATTTCATAACTTTATGATACATCGCTTTCATGTTCCGAGAAGATGCGCGCGGTATTCTCTCAGCACCGTAAATCGTTCTCTATTATGTGACTAACAAATGTCTGCGTAAACGCGCAGTAATAAATCTCCCCTTGTAATTATACACATCACAGGGAACGATTTTGAGCGCAAAGCGACGTGTAAAACGCGCATCCTCCAGTTGAAAAGTCATTTAAGTCTAAAAGTCATTATCTTTGACATATATATATGTGTGTATAATGGACCTTACCTTTATACATTAATCGTGCATCAAAAATGTAGGTCAGGCGCATTAATGAGAGAAATCATTGACATTCTACTGGATGAAATGCTCGATTTTTTAAATTAATGCACATTTTTTTACTTGCTTAACACTATATATGTATGTCATATGCATTCGAAAATTTGAAGAGGGAGAGGAAAATGATTATTATTACTATTATTATTATTATTTCAGTTTCATTATTTCAGTTGTGTTATAAGTTCGAAAATAATAGATGCACAGTCATACATTTGAGGTAAATGTATTTAGAATAAATTACATATAGAATTATTATTTTAATATCTAATGCAAATGATGATTGTAGTTGGCATTTCTTTTTAGTTAGGAAAAAATTGTTTTGAAAAATTTGAAGATCAGGGATTTAAAGTCGTTAATTTGTTCTATCGAGTAAAATTACTTTCGGAAACGAGAAACATCGAAACCTGCGTGTCGCCGGAAATACGGTTAAGACTCATCCCGTTTTTCATCGGATGTTGATCAACGAAACCGCGAACTACGTTTGTTCGTGACCTCGCAACCTCACTCGCGTTCGCCAGCAGAAGATAATCGTGGCTAATGTAGTTTTCTTTCTTTTTCCCTTTCTCTCTTTCTTTTTGTCTTCATTGCGTCTCCCGCGCGTTCTCGGTCAGTCGATTAATGGAATATCATTCGATTAATGGAGAGAGATTGTTGCGACACGACAGCGCAACAATAATTCCCGCCCGATAATTGCGCCTCGCGTTCAGTTACGTAACTTAATGTTCCTCCACTTGTCCGCGTGCCGATATCGGGCGAGACGCCGCTGCCGTCGAGCCAACAGACGACCGGTCGATCGTGCGATTTGGATTTAGATTTGGTAATTTATAGACGGAAATGAATGGACGAACTTGGGCTAGTCCGTGTCTAAATTAACTCCGCGCCAGATGGCAGATAGTTTAGACGTCGCGCCGGGGGCGACCGGGACGTAAGGAACGACGTCGTTTCGTCGCTCGTACGATCCTTCACTAGATGATGCTGAAATTGTACCCTCTACTACTCTTTCGTGCTGCCAACAAACTGGATAAACTGCAATAATCAACACAACATAAATGAGAGTTTTGTGACATTTTAAGTAATCTTTTCACAATACGTAAGAAACGAGCTATATCATCAAGCATATAGAGAATATATGAAGATTTCTAACGCTGATATTCCTCCCCCGCTCTTCCTCCACGATACACATCCCAATTGAGTACGCCGATGCAAGAAAAATAAAAAAGAGAAAGCAAAAAAGACAAAAACACTCAGCAGTCTCCCGTTACGCTTGTGTTGCAGACTGAGGATGTCCTCAAAGAGGAAGTCGCCACCAACGAAGCTATCGGAGGGCGGGGGCGGTACGGGTACAGTGGCAGGCGCCAACGAGGAGGAGGAGGACACTACCTCGCCGGTGGCCGGTTCCGGTGGCGAGGCAGCCGTCGTCGTCGGTGAGGAGGGTGCCACCACCCCCGTCGACATTGAGGAGTGCTACTCCCATCAAAGAGGCGGCGAGTGCGAGTCCTCCGGCTGCTCATCGCCGGCGACTACCAGCGAGCCGGATCTACGCGACTCGCCGTCGCCCTCATTGAATTCCTTGCGGACGGCCAAGAGACAGAGGCTGTTGTTCCTGTCGAGCCAAGAGACTCTTGCACCATATCACCATCCTCATCACCATCATCATCACCACCACCACCATCATCATCATACGAACACATTGTCGTCGTCGGGCGGTGCACTGGAACCGGCGAGCTCCTCGGAGTGCGGCTCGCCACCCACCCTCCTTTCCGTCGATCCCTATTACCCTCATCATCCACATCACAATAACAACAACAGCGTCACGCAAAACAACAACAACAACAACAACAACAACAACAACGGCAGTGGTACTACCACTGCAGGCAGTAAAAGGTCCATGGACGACGTTCTTAAAAGACTAACGTGCAAGATGAATAGCGAATCCTTGTCTATCCAAGACGATACTACCAATACCAGGCGGACATCACCGCCGCTCTCTTCCACGCCAACCGGTCACAATGCACATAGGTTAGTCCAGGTGATCAGATATTGAAATAGAGGATTAGAGCAAGATAAGACTCATTACTTTCTATTTTACATTGTCTGAGACAATAAAAAAAGAATTATTGATTTAATCGTTTGACTATCAAATAATGAATAAAGCAGTAGATTCAATAACTTTTTAAATAAATACTTTCGAATATTAGTTAATAGTTTTTTTATTCTATGGAGTGTCTAGCTTATCAAAAAATTTGCTTATCAAAAAGATACTATGTTCATCATTATTTAAAATTATAATGTATAAAAAAAACATAAAAACAAAGTAATTAAAAACAAAGAAAGAAATTGCTTTTACTTTTAAATTTTCTGTGCTCTGGATCTTTCAATTGTCATTTTGATTCTCTTCCGTTTAATATCGATCCGGTTGCTATTAACGCGGTCAGGAAGTATCCTGCAAATAACAGGAAATGAGAACAGCGTGCCGTTTGAGAACTTCTTCCAATTTTGCTGATTATTTAGATTCCGTTACGATTCGTGTAATCCATACAACGTATCTCGATAAGCGACTCTTATGCAACTTGTGTATATTAATTATTCGATGCCGTGTTCGATCGACATTGTAACAGTGCACTACTCTGTTGCAATATCTGCCTCATAATGCGCCACCGTGTCGCCGAGGTTATCATATCTCTCCCACTTTACATAACTGATTAATATAATATAATGGTAAATCAGAGACGGATGTTGCTTTTTGCAACTTTATTACGAGTGCCTATAATTTTTGCTTTCGCAACTAATTGCCGACTGTACATATAATTGAAGCATATACAAATACTTATTTGAATTTAATCTCGATTTTATCGTCTCTTTCTCTCTCTCTCTCTCTCTCTCTCTCTCTCTCTCTATATATATATATATATATATATTCATATTTGAAAAAAGTATAACATTTTTCTATGGAAATTGAATATTTAAATTTTAGAGTTTAGCTCGTAACATTATCGATATTCTTCGAACACAGCTTACAATGCGATATTTCACATTCTCCATCATCCGTTGTTATCGCCGGAAATTAGGGCGTCGACTATAATTTTGTTTTCTGAAAGAAAAGACCACTGTGTCGTTTCTTGCCTCAACATTCTCAAGGCCTGGTATCTCGGATATAGTAACATGCAACTAACGATCGGGCGGGACCTAAAAGAGACTATTGTCCCGAAACCATAAAGCCAACCTAGCGGTCTCTTGGAATGGATCTCTATTGCTGTACAGTCATTTGACAATGATCAGTAATTTTGGAATAAAAAGCAGTATAACATAAAACATCCATATCGTAATAAAATTAAAAATAACTCGAAACAATTATTGTCAAATTCAAAATTTTCAAAATCAATTTTCGGTTTTGATTTAATATATCCTGAAATAGTCTTAATTTAATGAAAATCATATATTTTAGTCTATCAATAATTAATTTATAATATTCATATTATCTGATCTCGTATTGTAAGTTCTTAAAAGATTAATCAACAACTTGAGAAGCTTTAATTAATATCTACAGTCGCGCTATAATTTATATCTACAGTCTTAATAATTATATCGTTCTTTGAATTATAAAAAAACTTTTATTAATTTACTAAACTGCTCAATATAACAATATGTTCTTTATACAGTAATCATCTACATCAGTTATTTAATGTTACTGTATCTTACATTAATAGATACAATTCAGTTTTTCATTTTAATGCTATAACAATATTTAAATTTATTATATGATACAAAGACTTATATTGACTACTAGTGCTGAAAATCTACAATGCATGTAACATATATTATGTACAGATTTTCAGCATTAATGTGAATAATCGGAACGCAGTGCGCCTTAATTAATTCCGGATAATCCATGAGACAATATCTGAAAACTGACTGACATATATTTTTCAAACGATTATTTTGCGTCGATAATAGCTGCTTTAGATAATTAAGTCTTTCGATGAATTAATTTGTTTGCATAATTTTTTTTTCTTTATTCGGTAAATTGTTCATACAGCGCGAGAATACAGAATCTAAATTGTGTACACGTGGCTAATTATGATTGTGCGTCATACAAGATGGTACGATAACGCTACGCTGATGATGTTACCATAAAATTATACTTTTGCGTTTCCAGATTATTCTACTACATACTTGTGACGCATTAATTGATATTAAAATTAGAAATTGCTGACTTAATGAAACGTTTAAGCAAATCATTTCATCTATGATCAAATGGTTATGAATTTTCTAGTCACTGTTATTTTTTTAACTGTTTTTCACTGTTATTATTGACACAAAAAGTGTATTGCGTTATGATTCGCGCAAAATAACGCCTGGCAATGTTATATGAAGAACAGCAACAATAGAATAGCAAAACTCTCTGCAAAAAGTGTCTTCCCTCAAGCTAGATGTGTAACGCAATGTCTTATGTTGACGTTGTAGTCATTGAAAGTAAACGAGTGAACTTGGCAGCATGGAGAAGTGGTAGCACAGAACTGTGCCAGTCTGCTGCCCACATCGAGCAGACGGCTGGCCAATATTCTTCAAAAATTCAGCCAACAGTACAACATGCACTTACGTTGACGTTTACCTTCTTTTTGGAGCACGTTCAATTTTACTTAGCGTATATCGAAATAGCATGGATTCGATTTAAAAATATACAGCTAATACTCACAAACTTCTTATCACGCTGGAATGTATGTGTAACATTTAATACCAATTAATTTGTAATTAATTTGTTTTCAGTATAGTTCCATTAATTTATTCTTAAGCTGGATATTAATCGTTAATAATTTAATTCGTTGTTTACTTGGAATGTTGCGAAGATAATTCCAATGTGTTATACCAATGAGTTTCGAGGAAATCGACACGACTCGGAGGTACTTTGAACTCGCAAATTTACGTGTGTAGACATTCAGTAAGACGTACAAACAACTGTAACAACATTGTTATATAAAGCATCTCGAATTCGTGCATCATATATGCACTACTGACGTATCGCGCGAATCGTATTATGAGCACGTACGAGCATTTGAAGATGCGAGAAGACTTATAGAGTAGACGAAAATATCGGGCATATACATTAGCTCTCAGCTATTTTAAATATAATAGGTATTGGATAAAAACCCCCGTGAAGTAATCACGTCGCATTATGGACCGGCGATAACTTTGATACATAAAACTTCTGATATTTCCAATGTCGGAGGGCAAAACAACGTCAGCAGAAATTTTTGTCGATAGTCAGCTAAACACTGTAATATTATTAAAATAATCGATTCGATTTACAAAAATGTAGAATTATTCTTTTTAACAAATAACAATTTAGAGATACAGCAGTTAAGCAGACATTATTAAATTTGCTGATTTTATCGTGAAATTGAAACAATTCTATTTTGTAGCAGAGAGAAATCTAGATAAAAGATTGATAGATACATAAATAGCTTGATGATTATATATATTGCAAGATAATGGATTAGTAACGACATCGATCGTGACGCTTAATAACTTAGACATTTAATTATCGACAGTATTATATTTAATGATATTAGTAATTTTGATGAAGCACTGCTCTAAATCGAAGAGATCTCCCATGAAGATTTCATGTTAGAGTCTCGGCGATAAAAATGCGAAGAGACTTCTTTATTCTTATTGATTTCATCTACAATCCGTGTGCTATCAATTTATCATACATTTTCGCGTCCGTTAGTCCGTGTAGACAAGAGCGAGTTGTGTATGCAGAGAATAGAACAAAAGAGACGAGGCTATCATTTATCTTGGCTCGTGCATGAAATTAAGCCCTTCAAATATCTTAGCGTGCGATAATAATAACAGAAGGCTTTTTATTTTTAAAATTATTAAACATGAAATCTATTGCCAAACTCACATCATCATTATCACGCTAAACAAAGTTTGCGTGGAATTAAAGTTTTTCGCGAAACGGGATGCGCATTTTCGCTGGCTACTGACTGAACAAGATAGACTTAAATACTGAGGAAATATTCAAATATCATCGTCCGTTTAATTTCTACGATGAAGTTAAACGGACTGTAATTTCATAATTATTTCACGAATTAACAACAAAAAAACATTATTATAAAAATTTTATTCTATATATCTCACACATTTTTCTGTTTTAAAATACGCGACGCGATGTTTAATCTTTTATCGAATTTTAAAATAGCTTCTTAATAAGCTATTTTATCGTAAGGAAAAAATATATGTGATATTAGAAGTTGTTTTAGCTACTCTGGCTATTAGTCAGAAATTATTAATCTGAGATAATTAAGATAATCAAACTAGCATTGCAAATCTGGAAATATCAGATAAATGCAGATGGCTGCGTATTGTAAATGAGGAAAAAATACATGTGTCCATGACTTGATGTAGTCGGAACAACTTAAGCGTTTGTGCTGTATGTCATTCGCGTGTATCGTAATGTAACTTTAATCGTTGACCCTGTAACGTCATGAAGAGACGCGGTTGGCCTATATTTTTCGCAACGTAAACTTCCTCATTGTCGACATTATCATCCTCGTTCTTTTCGCTCATATAAGCTTTGTTAGACCAGTGGTCGCCTAAGCGCCGCGTATACACACAAACACACACACATACACACACACACACACAATATGACCTGTATCATTTATTTGCGGACCATTTTCTTCGACATAAAAGAGCAGAATCTCGAGGTCGGTTCTGGGCGGGTGATCAAGAGCTGGGGATCCAGGGAACGGGGGAGGAGAACTGATGGCACCGGGATGCCCCCATCACGGACGCAAACACTTGCCCTGTCGTGATTGCGCGGCCGCGTCTCATTTATTATTCACCTGGCTTCCAACGTCGCATACGCGACCACCTACCATCTGGTTCCAACCTAATGCGCTGGAGGCTACCTGCCTCTTTCTCACTCGGCGGTCTAGGAACATTTTTACATCGACGGATATTTTTGACTAACAGTTATTATTTTCTCCTTTTGATATTAAAAAGATTATAATGATTATTAATACTGAACAATTATTTAATTTAATAATGTTAAATAAATTAAACAAATAATTATTATTTATAATCAATTAATAAAAAAATTAATATTAATAACGAAAGATAAAATGAAATATATACGAAATGTTGATAAAAATTGTCGCTAATGATTGATGATTTATCATTGATGATTGACATAGAGAACAAAATCCGTATTTATTTCTTATTGTATGAAAAGAATTATTTCAGTTTCCATCTATTATCAATAGTTTTAAGTATAATTTCTTTCTCGATGATAATTATTAATTGCTTAATTAATGAATATAAAAATATACATATTAAATAGAAGATTTATTTATTTTGAAATTTGTATATATTTTCTTAAGTATTTGTCGTACTTTTGTTTTTCATTTGTACTTTTCAAGTTAAAGCAATTCAACAAATATTTAATGAATATTTTCTATCTCTCCCATCCATTTCACTCTCTTTATTTGATTAAACGAAACTGACTTGGGTTTGTATATGTTGGGTTTGTATCGTATATGTTGTAGTTGCAGTGGAAGCACGACTACCACCGTGGCAAATAACGTGGCACTCTCACCTCCGGATTCTGGAAGGATATCAAACACGGAGGCGCAAGTAGATCAGGACGGCGTGGCGGCCCTTCACAGGATCCTTTGCGCTGAGAGCTTCGCCGAAAAGGAGCGCCGACTATCGGAGATGATCCTGCAGCTGCAGTTGCTTAGGGAACGTCTTGTACAACAGCAGGATCAATCGAAGGTAGGCAATTTTTTTAATGCATGCCTGAGCAAGACAGCTGAATTATATTTGTAAATATTGAATTATTATTATAATAATACTAGATGTGCGCTAAATATTTTGAATACAAATGTTGTAACATATTAAATTATAAATTTAATTGAATATTTGCTAATTAATCTGCATGAATTAAGGTGTAGAAGAATGTAAATAAACAATAGAATATTATAGAAAAATTCTAATTTCAAAGCTTGAGGCAACAGATATGGACGAAAAGAATAATTTTGCTGAAACTGAACTCTAAAAATTTAGTTAGATATAGATCTGAAAATAATTTTGTTGGACTATCAAAATAATTATATAGGACGCTCAAACTGATTAATTAGAATTGTCTAAACTTTTTATAGCATTATTTTTCATTCCTATTTTGATAGTTCACTTAAATTATTTTTAGATCTATATTTAATAAATTTAAATTTTTGGATACTTCAGCAAAATCATTTTTTCCGTGTAATATTTCTGAATAATTTTCCGTGTAATATTACTGTGGAATGCGTATAAGGTAGGAAATAGAAGATTCGAATAATTGAATTTGTTGATACATTAGGTCTATTTTTTATTGCTGCACTGAATCGATGCAATAAGTTAAAGTGAAACAAATGTATATTTGCACTGTACTAGAAAGTGCAACAATAAAAAACAAACCTATTATGGTGAATAATTATACTATTTTAGGTTTAATGCAAGAACTAGAAAAATATAAACACTTTCTAACCTCCAAAAAAATATTCTGCCATTTAGCAGTGTTAATATCAGATGATTTTCCATTTATATACTCGAGAAGATAGATACTCTATAAAGTAAAGGAATTTCGTATAATCATAAAATGCTGGATTTAGGTTGCGATTCTCTCAATGCTAGAAGAATGTTTTGCATTACTGACATGTACTACGTAAATAACAAACTTTTTCTAACAAATAAGCGTGCTGCTAGTATCTTGTATATCCTCTTATTTCAAAAGTTTATATGAGTTATTACAATAAAATTTTTTTATTGGTTTTGTATTTTGATCATAACTCATGTTTCCTCATTTTTATAAATGAATATGTGTTATAAATATATGCGCCTGATTCATGCAAGATTTTTTACTTAGAGGAAATGTTAAGAGGAATTCCCCGCTTATCGGCAGAATATTTTTTTTAGGTGAGATAATTTTCAATGCTGAACCCAAATTTGCTATCGAAATATTTCCATTAGGTCCGGTTTTTAAAATAAAAGAAAAGATATTTTTACAACATATAATGAAATCTTATTTGAAATATTAAATGTTTAATTTTTGTTTTTTTATATGACTTTGGATCGGTTTTACGTATCAGAATCCAGTAATAATTATCTAGAATATTTCCGTTTTAATATCCTAAATGATTTCTTAATTATCCATCATCTGATGGAAATGTTTGCCTTTCTCAATATTTGTTGCACTCAAATTATTTATAAAGAAATGCTATATCATAAAAATTGACATATTATATAGATATGTTAAAATAATATATTATATCTTAAAAATTCAATGTAATGGAAATTTTAGCGCCAGATTTGAACTTGTCGCATTAAAGCACATTGCAAAAGTTTTTTTTCTTACGCTAAAAGTTATTCAAAATTTGTGAACTAATGTAATGAAAGCACAGTGTAACAGTTACATAATTTGAGTGATTTGTCCAATTACGTCACATCATGCGGAATATCGTTTACAATTAATAGAAGAAAAAAATAGAATGCGTGCCGCATGGCTGTGACGAAATAGAGAATGACGGATCAAGCTGTGTCTCAATATAAATCCAGCCAGTGCATGTTGATTGACGAGGGAAAGTGCATCGATTACCGCGGAATCATAATTACGCGGTTGAATCGCGGTCGTGCTGGTATATCGCAGGCGATAGAAAAATGAGAAATCCAAGTTTCCACGACGCGTTGACCGGTATGCCGTTACGACCAGCTTAGTATGTTTTCGTTTTAAAAAGACACTATGCGATAAAGCGAAACATTCTCGCGACTCCGGCGACTCGTCGGGCGAGGATTGTAAGAATAATTCATAATGTTCGCGCGCGCGCGCGCGCGCGCGCAGTTATGCCTCTCTGCAAACAACATAAAAATTCTACGCGCGTTCCTTCCCGCGCCATCGGAATGTTAAGCCGTATTCTTCTGCTTAAAAGCATCTCCGCGATGTTCTTGACAATAACGTCAAGACCTCTCTCTGTGATATTACCGTACTAATAGCGGCGAGTCCGTTGCACCTCCGCGAATAACAGTATACCTTTGATGCGCCTGCATCACGCCAGACTGCAATCCGCGAGCGCACCGCAACGGGCGCGAACGTTCGGGGCACAATGAGATCTCATTGAAATCGCTCTGGCCTGTGTATCGGATTCGATAATCGCATCGAGATTAGTATCACCTTCCGTCTCACGACGATGACTCGATGCTTCGCGCGGCCTCAAAAAGCGCGGGTCATCGCGTAGCTGCGGCGAAACGCAACCACGCTGCTCCGCCGCCGCCGCCGCTGCCGTCGCTCGCGCTCGAAGGAATCGCGGGAGACCGGAGGAACCTGTCTGCCCGCAAAAATGCGAACGCGTGCAGATAATGCCCGACGTGTATTACCGTTATTATGCCAGTCATTTACGTGCAGTGGAAACGATGTTTCTTCCCCGATGTCCCGCTAAATTCGCCCGCCGGCGAAATTCTATACGAATGCATTCGCGTAAATGTCCGTCATGTGCGCGCGGCAGGTAGAGGCCGATGTGCCTGTGAACAGTTAATATTCTGAATTCGGGAGAGTGGTAACAATGTCCGTTGTGCCGTAAACAACATCTTGAGATATCCCAGAGATCTTGCGAACGGTCGATTATGATCCGTAAGGTGGAACGTGACAGACAAGTCGCTGACACATTTCCAATTATATCGATTTATATTTAATTATATATATATATCTGTAAGAAGAGAGAAACGCACGCAAAAAAAAAATGTCTCACAGGAATGTTTGATTTTTTAAAGGGCCTGTATTTTCAGATTTGCAGTCGCATATATACAAATATCAACAATTCTTTTAATGATGAATTTATTCAAAATTCAAAAATTAATAATGCATATAAGCGGAAATTTTACTTTTTATGTTAACAAATTACTCTGTAAATGAACGAAACAAGTAAATTTTTAATTATAATTTAGCTCTCCGTATTTACAAAAAATAGTGAAATGGTATACGTTCATTAATATACTTCATTTATTTAAAAGAGAAATTATTTTTTACGAAAGTCTGAAATCTGTCGACATCTCGCTTTTGCATTTGAGAAATCTATAACCAATAACGCGAAATTATTTCTATAACATTTGCGAACTGCTCACGTGCAAGAACACCGGCTAATGTCATTAGATAATTAAACCTGAGAGAAAGGGAGAGAGAGGCAAGAATCGGGAGTTGTTACGATCGTCTGCAATTGCACTAATAATTGAAATCCGCAGTCGGAGAGACACGTAACTACTGGCAATAACGTTTTAACGATTCGAAAGAAGAAAGATAAGGAAAGTGCCAATCTTCGCTGTGCGACAAAAATGAGTTTTCCATATCTCGGCGTTTCCTGTTAGAGTTGTATTTTAATTATAATCGCGTGACGAGTTGTCCCAGCCTGATAGGTTCGACTTAAGAACATCTTAAGAAATTGTTCGAATCGACCTACAAGTTTTCTCATTCAATGATTAATTGGCATGTCCGACAAACCGGTCGTACAGTAACTGAAATGTCAGTTACGCTGAGTAAAAGCTATCTGATTCGCTGGAAAATCTCCAACGGGCGAGAGATCGATGTGACTTCGCGTGGAACTTCTTCGGATGAGATCCTCCAGAATAGAGAATGTTTTGTCGTCCGCCATTTCATCGGCGCGGAGAGAAAACGCGTTTGTCGGCGGCGTTTGCGCGCCGGGCGCACCTCGAGTTTAGCCGACATTAAAGCGGAAATGCAACGACGGCATCGTCGTCGAAAGGGAGGGAGTTGGGGGTGATAGGGGAAGAAGAGAAGCACAGAGAAAGCTGGGCGGCGGAGGGAGAGGCAGGAGAGATTAGAAGCAGGCGTACGAGTTACGAGGTAGATAGAAGTGCGCGAGAAAGAGGTAGGTGGAGTAAAAAGGCGACGACAGAGATAGAGCGAGAGACGAGAAAACGTAGGAGGAAGGCGGTAGTCTCGATGTTCTCCTCCTCTTGGATCGTGGAGGGCGTATAGTAATGTTCGAGTTGGCAGACTCGGGGTCGAGTGGGGGTCTCTCCCTCCGTCTGTCTCTCTCTCTCTCTTTCTCCTTCGTTCTCTTCTCGTCCTCTCCTCCCGGAGTCTCTCTCTCTCTCTCTCTCTCTCTCTCTCTCTCTCTCTCTCTCTCTCCTCCGTTATACCTTTCCACCTGTTATGCGTCGCCGTGCCATGCTGCGTTGGCACAGGTGTGCGCGATCGCGTAGCCAGCGACAAGGCCCGCACGCTCTCCTCGATCTCCTCGGTCTCTAGTCTCCCACCTCTCCAACCTTTCTCTTCCACCTTTCTGTATCTCGTGTCTGTTTTGCTCCTTCTCTCTTTCTCTCTTTCTTTCTCTTTATCCCATGCACTACCGGCTCGATTCCTGTCTTTCCCGGCGAACGAGCAGACCGATCGCGCGTGGGCGGCGAGGATCGCGTTCCCCTCTACCCCAAGGCGCTTTCATGATCCTACCTTTACGTTCGGCTGCACCTGCAGAACTGTCACGCCCAGTAGCTCGATCACAGCCGACCTGCTGCACCGACCTGCTACTAGACTTTCTCCTCAAGTCATATTCTTCTACACCAAAAGCGTCGCATCGTTTCAACGACGAAAAATCATACTTTCATACATATCACGCATACATATATGAACGCATTGCTCACCATCAGGCATGGGAGATTTTTATGCAGTAAGAATGACAATATGAAACATATTGTTTGAGGGAAAATCCAGTCGTAAACAAACA